CTCTTAGGAGAGTAATTTTAAACTACTTAGTGTGGAATTTCCTGATCAACACTAGGGAGGTAATCTACCTGGTAAAACCTGCCTTCCCCTAACGGGGAAGGGGACTTTGCCAGTACTTACTCTGTTAAAATGACGAAATAGGATGGCTTCTATGAAGTGCCTGATCCAGGAATTGGGGCCCAATATTATAAGTGTTAGTTAATGAGTGCCAAGTCGGCAGCCAAGATACCATGGATCATTTTCAAATGTATGCAATATTTAATTTCTCTTCCTTGGCTCCTTAATCACTTGTTTATTTAAAAATGTAGTTTCATATGCTTCAATCAGATTGAAGGAGTTTTTGAAACTAAGCTATGACTGAACAACACTGTGGGTGGACAAAAAAGGAGGCACTATAATAATTCTAACCAAAAGTAACCTGCAAAGCAGATAGCAACATCCTTGAGCTGCTGTCCAAAGTGGCTGCTTGTCATAGCATGACAGAAGGAGAAGTGAAGGTGATCTGATCATAAATTCCTAACTGGGCAGGTCATGCTGGGTAGTGACTTCTTTAGTACAAGGTTTAAGCAAGCCCTGTCCACTGTTTTTGTGCATCTAGGTTAACATACCTTTGAAATGCCAAAACAGTCCTCTTTTCCAGACCCCTGGGAAGCAATAACTACCCTCAGGAGAACACATCATCTTGTTAACTATCCTGTAATCCAATCCCCACCTTGCTTTCTCCCACCTCCATGTAATCTTCCTTTCCTCTCTTCCTTAATTACAAATGTATAAAAGAAATTGCAAAACTTTCATTCTCCAAGCATTTGAGATTTTGCTTCCCAGCAACATCATCAGTTTGGCTCAAATAAATTCTTATAAAAATTCTCCACAAGTTTTGGTGTTTCTTATGTTGACAACACACTGAGCTCAATATCCTTCTCCCTGTCATTGCCTTATTAATAAGTTCTCAGTGACAGAAGTCCTCGGCTCGCCAGCCCCACAATCCTGACCTATAATAGAACCAGTATGTGAACTAAAGCTCTGCCAATAACACGCAGACACTGAATTCAGTTGAGATCTTGCCATCACTCACTGCAGTCATGCCTGCCTTGCTAGAAAGGAGATGCACGCAAACGCCACATGAATCTTACCTCAACTGGCGGCGTCTCTCCCAGCAACAGGTTATTAAAAATGGTAGCATAATCACCATTTAGATTCATCAGTTCCTCATGGGTGCCTCTTTCCGTAACACAGCCCTCTTTCATGAAGAGCACTTCATCACAGTCAGCCAGGTACTAGAGATAAAGGCAGGGAGAGCACAGGGTTGCTGATATTTGTGCAGATTCATCCAATCATCCATACCTTTTTTTTTTTTTTTAAGATTTTTATTGGGGAATTGGGGGGTTGGTAACAGTGTTGGGGAATTGGGGGAAGGGAAACAGACAAGTTGCTGTCGTTTTGTTCTTCAGTCTAGTTGTGGAGGACATTGCTTCACTGGCCCGCTTCTGGACAGCCGCTCACTGCGGCTGCTGGCCGCTCACGCTGGCTGCTGGCTACACACGGTAGCCCATGGCAACCCACTGCCTCAGGGGCTGTAGTCTACGCCGTTGCCGGCGACTCACGGCAGCCCAGCTCCAGGTTGAGCTGTTGTTCAACATCTTAGCTGTGGAGGGCAGTGTCACTGGCCCTCATATGTGGGATCTGAACCAGGGCCCTCTGGTCTCCCAAGCCAGTTCTTAACCATCGTGCCAGTCGGCTGGCCCCAATCATCCATACCTTAGCTCAGCAGTTCTCATCTGGAAAGGACTGAGACCCTAAGGGGGCATTTGGCAATATCTGGAGACACTTTTGGTTGTTACAATTGGGGGGAGGGGCGCCAGTGCCAGCTAATGGATAGAGGCCAGGGATGCCTAGGACAGCCCCCCCACAATAAAGAGCTATCTGGAGCAAAATGTCAATAGTGCCAAGACTGAGATCCTCTGCTTCAGTTCCTTGTGCCTTGTGATGTGGTTCAGTTCCTCCAGTTTTTGACATAAATCTGCTGGTGGAGCCACAGAAGCCTTGCATTCAACTTCACACCCTTTCACACTGTACTCAGAAGTACACATAATTACTGACTTTCTGTGGCAGAATAGGGGCTTAGCTCTCTAAACTCAAGAACATATGCAGAGCAGATGGCAACATCCTTGAACTGCTCTCCAAAGTGGCTGCTTGTCATGGGATGACAGAGGGAAAAGACCTTGTCTTCCTTAAACAGTTCCCACTTGCATATAGATGCTAACATAATGCTTTCCAAACTATCTCTACCCCAAACTCCATTTTCAGCCTATCTCTTTTACTCATCGATTTATATGCAGAAGCTACCATGCTCCAAGGATCTCGAATTCAGATAGCAATTGGGTACATTGGTACAATGAGCTGTATTGGTACAAGGGCCAGGGGTCTATTTGCTGAGGACATGAACACTGATGTTTCCAGGAACTTCTAGGAGCCCATGAAGGTACCTAGAAGGACCAAGCCCACCTCCCTGTCTCTGACTTTTCAAGCCACAGTGGGCAGCCTGGGGAAGAGGGCACTGTACCTGTAACTGGTGGGTGATGAACAGAACCGTCTTGGACTTGAGTTGTTTCTGGATAGCACTGTTGAAGATGTGGTTGCCCACATGGGCATCTAAGGCACTGAGGGGGTCATCCAGGATATAGATGTCCCGGTCACTGTACAAAGCCCGGGCAAGGCTGATCCTTTGGCGCTGCCCACCACTCAGGTTGGCTCCTCGCTCGCCAATCTACAGGAGCCCAGAAAGCACAGTGAGGAGGTTGCAGAAAGGGTTCAGGGAAGAAGCTCAATGTGCACATGCTTGACTGATGGTTTCAAAAATGGAGAGTACAGAAAATATTAACTCTGAACCAACAATGGGATTTTGTTTAAAATCCACTTGATAAGTGAAATATTTATATGCTTAAAACAGGTAGTGTTGCTATCCCTGCCCCAAGGCTCAAATACTTTCTAACACAGAGTCCCAGTGAAAGAAAATCTCGCTGTAGTTTTTTCTCCTGTGCATTTAAGATAGAATTCTAGGAGGTGTCTCTGGCACAGCCCTGCCACCCATCTTCCAGAGTCCTCTCTGCTAAACATATTCGCCATCAGGGGCAGAAGGCTTGTACCTCAGTCAGGTCGCTGTTGGGGAGAATGGCCAGGTCAGGCCTCAGGCAGCAGCTGTTCAGCACAGAGTTGTATCTGAAGGACATAAAGAGACCCAGCATCAGGGACACGGTTGGAGTAGAGCCTGCTGACTCGGGCTGCCTTGCGTCTCACGTGGTCAAGACGGAAAGCATGACAGAAACCAAACATTTCTTGCCTTTCTTCATCAAGTTCCTTCCCAAAGAGGATGTTGTCTCTCAGAGTGGCATTAAGGATCCAGGCCTGCTGGGCCACGTAAGCAAAGGTTCCACTGGCTGCAATGCTGCCCTCTAGAAGTGTCATCTAAGGAGACAGACACCATCCAATGGCATCATAATGCAAAACCATCACTCTAAGCCAACAGAGTCCCCTGTATTCCGTAATGGAGTTGAAAGGTTTAGCAATTTCTTCAGATGCTTTTTGGACTCAGATCCAGACCTCAACTTTGTTCCACAGAGAGCTATAATGGCAAGAAAATCATAGTTCTCGTGGCTTACGTGTGATGGGAGTCCAGCACAACCCATGACTTGAATGAACTAACACTTCATTCAGCAACCTATGAGCTGCTTTATATCCTTTTTTCCTAATTGCAAGCTGTTTTAATTAAAGGAAACAGAAGTGGAAGGTCCTTTCATAATCCCCTGGGGAGGGTGCTGTAAGGATTTAGAGCTAGTCCCCGTCTCAGTTTAAGGACAGGGCAACTCATCTGCAGAAATCTAGGCTGTTGGCTAGACCAGCTGCTTCTGTAAAATGAGGACTAAAGGGGAAAAAATTCCAGTTAGACATCAACTCGTACTATACAGTGTCCATGTAATGATGGCGGACCCTCCACTCCAACATGAAGAGACTATACAATGAGCCGTGTGCTTTGAATTGTGTTTTAGGTCCCAGTGACTGATAGGAATTGATTTATCCATTTTATCCTCTTTTAGGGTTCCTTTTGGAGCTGACAGTTGATAATCTGTCTTAGGTTAGGGATGCTATAGCTTAGAACAAAGTTTCATTAACCAGCCTGGGTAGTAATTGCACATACCACCTTGTCCTCTCAAACACCATAACACACAGTGTACACACACAGGTGCCCACTGAGCCCCCTTTCCAGACACAATGCTATTAAGGGGTGAAAATGCAGTGGGGGAGGGGGAAGAAAGGCAATGCTAATGAAGGGTTCATTTTGTTTCCACCTTTCCTGGCTCTCTCTAGGAAACAAATTCATTTTTTCCTTGCTAAGTAGAGTCCAGAGAAAGAAACAGAAAATGTCAAGGACAATAACAAAATCTCACCTGGCCTAAAATGGCTGAAATTAGAGAGGTTTTTCCACTTCCCACACTGCCACAGATTCCAACCAGTTTACCCTGAAAAAAACAGAGCAAGAGGAAAGGTCACTGAAGGGCGACTGACCACTCATCTCTAGGGACTTCCTATTTCTTTGAGGAAAAAAACAAAAACAAAAAACAACACATTAATTATAGTCCATCAATATGGGAACTGGCTTCCTAATCACCCAGAAAATCACTTACCTCTTTTCTCCTTTGTCAGCCACCTACCTCATAGGGTTTCTGTAGAGATACACTGAGGTAACAGATGTGTAAGCTCTTGGGAAAACTAAATATACCACACACATTAAGGTATCCCACATCACTTCTAGAAAGAACCAGCCCCTTTCATACTTGGTTGGTAATCTGTGTTTTTTTATTATGTGTTCATTTTGTTGTTTTGGAAGAGAGAACAGCAGTAAAAAAAATGATTATGATTTTTTTCTCCAGGGTCTGTAAGTTATTTTCAATAAAAACTATACATACTATTGCTTCCGTTTTTCTACAAAACATTTCCAAGGATCTGAGGAATATCCATACCATCAATCCCACATAAAAGTGGAAAACCAAACCTGTGACTGATTAACTGAATATCCTCAGACAAAATAATGAGGTCTCAATGGATAGTGTTAAAAGTTTTCAAGGACAGGCAGATGATTTTAACAGGGCCACTTGTTTGGTAATCTTGTACCAACTCAATTCTTGCAGCAAAGGAAGGAATAAAGAGGGGTGATATGCAAGGAGCGTGGATTCTGGAGGCAGATTGGTCTTGATTTGAACCCCATCTCCAACAGCACTTCCCAATTGTTTGATCGTGGCCTTGTTACTTAAACTAATACTGTCTCTCTCACTGGGCTTTGAGCAACTTGAGGGAAGGAATTATCCTTATAGAACTAAGTACGGTATCTGGTACTTAATAAAAGTATTTAAACAAACAGTTTTTTACATGGTCCAGGAGTTTGAAAGATTACAGCCTGGTGGTAATGAGGAGACCAGATCACAGTTTGTCTCTGTTCAGGTCAGATTTACACAGAGAAAACTCTGTTCTGGTGACTTAAAAGAGATATCAGCAATGAAGCAAGTGAAGACCATCAAGAAACATTAGCTTCCCTTCCCCTCCCTAAAGAGAGGGGCTGGGGAGAATTGCGGTCTCTTCAAATAGCTAAAGTTCTGTCATGTGAATGTGGGCTGTAAAGGGCAGAATGAGGATTAATAGATAGAAAGTAGAAGAGTAAATTTCCGCTGAATATGAGGACTAATCCTCTAATAGAGCTGATTAGCAGTATGAGAGAGCTGCCTCATAACCAAGATAATCGTCATTAAAGAAGAAGCCTGTTAAGAGTGAACTGAAGTTAAAAATTGACTTGAACACCCTCCAATGATAAACAACACTGGTTGTTTCTGGTGGTCTCACCGAGGACCATCTCCTCCTCTTGGTTACAGCTTTCAAGAGCTGGGAGCCTCCTGTTCTCTCTATAGTCTAGCTATGGATCTGTGTAACGTGCCTCTGGTCGGTTGCTGACTTGATTATATACCACATTAGAACCCAATACTCCATACTTCCAGTTATGTGGGTAAACATTTCTTACCACCACCTTTGGTCTAAGGTGCCCTAATGTTTCCCCTGGGTTAACTGTTCATCTTCCTTCCTTCCTTGTTTCTCTAAAATAATCTTCTCAATCCAGAAGCTAGAATATTTCTCTTCATACATAAATCAGATCACAACATTCTTCTGCTCAAAGCCTCAATGGCTTCTCTTTCCACTCAGTGTGAAGCCAAAGTCATCACCGGAGGCTCTGGCACCTAACTCCGCCTCTGACCTCGGCATCTGCTACTCTCTTTCCCATGCTCGCTCTGCTCCAGTAACAGGCCTCAGGGTCTTTGAGCTTCTCTGTTCCTTCTGCCTGGAAAGCGCTTCTTCCTCCAGATATCCACATGACTCATTCCCTCATCTCCTTCAGGATTTTGCTCAAATATTACTTTTTAAACAAGGCCTTCCCTCAGGCAACCTATTTAAATTACAACCCTACCTGCTCCCTGACCCAGCACTGTCTACTTCCTTTTCTTCACAGCCCTTATCACCATCTGACACACAACATACAGTAGTCCCCCCATCCACAGTTTTGCTTTCTATGGCTTCAGTAATTGCCTGCAGTCAGCAGTGGTCCAAAAATATTAAATGGAAAATTCCAGAAATAAACAATTCATAAATTTTAAATAGTGTGCCACTCTGAGTAGTGTGATGAAATCTCACGCCATCCTGCTCAGTCTTACCCTGAACATGAATCATTCCTTTGTCAAAAGTATCTACTCCATATACGCTCGCTGCCCATTAGTCACTTAGCAGCCATCTTGGTTATCAGAATTGACTGTCTCCATCTCACAGTACTTGTGTTCAAGGAACACTTATTTTAATTAAAAATGGCTGCAAAGCGCAGTAGTAGTGATGCTGGCAATTTAGACATGCCAAACAGAAGTTATAAAGTGCTTCCTGTAAGTGGAAAGGTAGAAGTTCTCAACTTAATGAGGAAGGAAAAAAATTGTATGCTGAGGTTGCTAAGACCTAACGGTAAGAACGAATCTTCCACCCTTGAAATTATGAAGAAGGGAAAAGAAATTCATGCTAGTTTTGCCGTCACACTTCCAACTGTAAAAGTTATGGCCACAATGCATGATAATGCTTAGTTAAGATGGAAAAGGCATTACATTTGTGGGTGGAAGACACGAACAGAAAATGTATTCTGATTATAGGCAATGTGTGAGCCAGAAAGCAATGAGCTACAATGAAAACTTCAGGAAGGGATCCCCTGAAACGAGCAACACTAAGCCATTTCCTGCAAGTAAAAGATGGTTACACAAATTCAGGACTAGGTTTGGACTGAAAACAATAAAAATTACTAGAGAGAGAGACCCCATTCATACAACTTTTATTATAGTATTGTGCATTGCTATAATTGCTCTATTTTATTATTGTTGTTGTTAATCTCTTACTGTGCCTAATTTATAAGTGAAACTTTATTATAAGTATGTACATACTTAGGATAAAACATAGTATATATAGGATTTAGTGCTATTCGTGGTTTCGGACATTTACTGGGGGTCTTAGATGTATCCCCCACGGATAAGGGGGGACTACTTTACGTCACTTGTTTATCATCTATCTAGGATATAAGTAAGCTCCAAGATGGCAGGGATTTTTGTCTGTTTGGTTTTTTGCTGTTATACCCTAGCCCTACAACAGTGCCTGGCACAGAGTTGGCACTCAAAAAATGACTGTTGAATGAATGTACTACTACATCTGGGACCCTCTGGACCATATAACCATCAACATGGTGCTGGTTCCAAATCGTATTCTGTACTTTAATAGCCTTGAACCTGGAGCCAATCTCTAAAGGAGGGCCTCTGAGAGACCCTTGTCCTGTGCTTCCTGGGCTGTATGACGTCCTATACTATAACGATCCTTCACTTAAATGAAAAATAAACAATTACAACAAAATACTTACTATGTGCCAGGTTCTGTGCTGTGCACAACCTAGTGATAATGAGAAGCTTATACAGAGTTATAAAAACCAGAAATAATTATTACAGCTCACATGACAACTCTACTAGCCAAAAATCTATTCAGGGCAGAATTTTGGAAAATCCGCTTGAATACTTATAAAATGAGTATCTCAAGAGATCAGTTGTTATTCATTTCTATTGTTAAATGCGTACATATTCCTTTTAGAGGTGGAGCTGGCCAGATTTGCTCATTAGTTTAAAACCACTCCCAGCCACAAAGGACTTTGCTAAAAGGAACGGCAGAGCTGCCTGCTCTCGCCAGAATAGGCACCTGGTAGACAGACGGGGAGTGGGGAGGCAGAGCAGTTACCTCTTCGATTTCCAGGTCGATGTTGTACAGCGTCCTCTGCAGGCGGAGGTTCCCCAGGTGGATGTGCTTGCCCTCTTCCTCCTCAGGACTGGGCCGCTCGTCGCTGTCCAGGAGGAGGTGGCCCTTCTGCTCTGCCAGCACCGCCTGATGCTCAGTGTGCTCCAGCTGCCTCACCTTCTCTTTCTTGCCCCTGGCAGCCCTCTTGTCTTTTTTCGTTTTGGGGGTCAGCTTGGGTGAGTTCTGGATACTGGAGTGGGAGGAGTCCCATGCCAAGGTGGCATTTTTCATCTCTATCTTGATGTGAGGACTGGCTGGTTTTTTCTTTATCATGTGAACCTCTTCCATCAGAAACAAACTCTGATAGGAGTTGTGAGAGAGGTGCAAAGATGAGACACTGGATCAAGACCAGTGAGACAAGCCTAGGGCGTACACTCACGTAGCAAAACACATCAGCTATACAGTGGAAGGAAGCTGAAGGGCAAAAGGTAGCTCATTAGTGTAGCCCAGCCTCAGGCCCAGTGACAGGTCACAGGGGTGTGGGGACACCCTCAGGAGGGACAAAGGCCTTGTCAGTGGCCCAGCATCTCTACTACCAACTACACGACAAACTAGCTTTTCCTTTTCTACCAGTCTCATGTGACCAAAGGACATTTAACTAACCCATATGCAACCCCTTGTTCTCACTCATGAGTTGCTGAGTAGCGGTGGGAAAACGCAAGCAGAAAAACTAAAGGGCATGCTGCTCTCCTCCACAGACCCTCACCGCTCTGCTTCCCTTCCAGCCCACTCCTGCAGAACCTCGAAGCCCACAGGCTTCCTTCACCCACAACATGGCGCATGTCTGAGGGGAGAAGGTGAGCTCAGACTGTGACCAGGCCCAGCTTGCTCAGGTTAGAAAGGAGTACCCGAGACTTTTTTGATGGCGGATTCCATCTTCTTGCCAATAGGTTCTCATGCCTTCAAAGTCCTGCCCTGGAACTTGTGAGAATTCAAACAACCAAAGGAACTGACTTGCATGGAAGTGAAGGTTATCTCCCTCAGAAACATCCTTGGGAAGAAAATAAGACTCTTTCCTCCCACTCATTCCCAGAATCCCACTGAATTGTGTTAGGGAAAGATAACTGGAATGCTCAAAAAGCTAAGTGTTCCTAAAATTAGATCTGAAACACTGACCAAAATAAATCTCATCTCAGGACTTATGTGCCCATGAGTTTGAACCCATTTCTGACAACTCTCTTAAACCAGTGATCTCTCTACAGAATGCTGTCCTAGCTGCAGTCCCAATATGATAAAAAGTTTTTTTAATAAAAAAAATTTAAAACATTAGAAAGTCTTTAGAGAAAAGATGACTTTTAGGGTCAGAACTCTTCACTGAGTTACTGAGATCCCCCAACTATTTTAAAGTTTGCAGGTGCTATTAAATGTACCATATAATCCTTTTCCCCAAGAGTAAGCCCTTTCCTGCTGGATCCTACACCTCTAAACTTGTTCTTTTCCTTCCTTAAATCGCCGCACCTCCTATCCATTCCTAATCCCCAATCTTCCCAGAAGTGTCATAGTTCTAAATCTCCTAGATAATGTTCACTTTTGGTCAGTCTTAGGTTTAGTTTCTGAAAACAGCTGTTGGTTTCATTTGTTCAGGGCCTTTCTGAAAGACTGAGCTAAGAATAACATGCCGAAGGTTCTGATCAACTTCATAGAGTAAAAACATATGCTGACAGAATTCCCATCATTTCTCTCCCCTAGAGAGTTACTAAAAGGATCTTTAAAGCCTCAGTGGATTATTAAAAAGTGTGCTCATGCTCTAGTTTGCACAGCTTCTTCCCCATAGGCTCCCTGCAGCCCCAAACTCCTCCCAGGAACATTTTCATTTCGGTTCATTCTGCCATGACGTGCTCAGAGGCACATGAGGGCCTCACAGCACTTGAATTTATATGAACTTGGATTTGCACCTGCCAGGACAACAGAATCATAGAAATGCATAAACCATAAACCTCATCATTACCACAGGACACTGGCCATCAAAACGCTACTCTCACTCCCTGGAAGCATCAAATCAGAATGTATCTGTGGAGCAGAAGAGGGGACTGACTATTCATAGGGTGGCCAGATAGAATACAGGGTGCCTAGTTACATTTTGATTACAGATAAACAATGAATAATATTTGCGTGTAAGTATGTCCCATGCAATTATGAAATGGGTGTCCTGTGTTTTTATTTGCTAAGCTGGGAACCCTATACTGGTGACAATCTTATCAGTAAAGTCACAAGGTGGTTTTTCACTGCCTTCCTACAGGTTATCATCATCCTAGAATGAGGAGGAGGAGGAGGGGGAGAGGAAAGGAGAGGCAGCAGAGAGGCAGAAGGAGAATGGGGCGGAGCAGACTGTCAAGAGGAATAAGACAGAATGAGACTAAAGTCTCATGGGCATATAATAGGACGGTGGCTAATTTTGCTTCCTTATTAACTCAAGCTTCCTGGATCAAGGAAGGAGCTATGATGAGAAAAGCCACCTGCTAATATAAGTCCCCTCTAGTAAGTGAAGAGAAGAGAGCTCTCGAGAAGCAAGGGAAGAATAAATCTATACTACAAATTCCTATTTCTTCATCCAAAATGCCAACAAATCTGTTCACTAACAAGGACAAGGGAACAAATTTATCATCAAAACATTGGCTTTTTTCCCCATGATTGGATATTGTGAGTTCGGCAAAATAAATCTTTAGTTACAAATAAACCATTTCTTTTTATATGGCTCTGGCTGTTAGCCGTTTAGCTGCCAGGTCGGGGTGAGGGAAGGCTGGGGCTGGGGGTGCATTCTTGAGGACTAGCTTTGTTGACCAAACAAAATTCACCTAGTTAACTGAAAATGAGTAGAATACAAATCAATCTGGGAAAGCGATTTTCCATTCTTCTTAAGAGGAAAACTCAATTTGTTTTCTCCTGAACATCTAAGGTGATGATATTAATCCCTCAAACACCTGAGCTGCAAGCCTTCAAGCCACCAGCGTTGCTTTTGTTTTGCTCCAGGTGGGCAGGAGCTACTCTATGCAGTGGCTTTGTCAAGGAGTCCCAGCCCATACAGGTGTTGCTCTTTTTTTTTTTTTTTAAGTAGAACCACTTTCAAATATCTTTCTCCTTCCACCCTCTCAAATATCTCTCCCTCTTGTATTATTCTGGAGGCACTAAGAACACAGTCATGGCAGGATCAACGAACTACCTTAAAAAAACCCCAAAAAAGTGACACTTAACTGCACTTCTCAACGTGATCTAATTTTATGACTATCCCATGTATCACTACCACCCCTGCATCATGAGTGACAACCACAGGCCAGGAAAAAGAAAGTGTCAAAAAGGCTTAGCATATCAACCAATCAAAACGAGGACAGCATTTTGGTAGAGGTAGACGGTAGATCAAGTGATGAAAAGCTGATGGTCATCTGATGGCCCTGATCTTCTACGTTTGAATCACTTAAAGGCTCAGTAAGTTACAACATATATCCACGTCAGGCCCAGGCAGAAGGGCCAAGATCTAAAGGGAAGCACTCAAATCCTGGAAGCCCAGAACTAAGTAGGCTGTCTACAAAAGGTAAGAATTCACATTTATTTGAAAAGGTAACTAACTAGTTCCGTCCCTTAATTCAGTCTCCTCACACCCCCTTTCTTACCAACTTGCCAAATGGCTAAAGATGAACAAAAGCCAAGAGCAGGCAGCCTGTGTGGCCCATTGGAATGAAGGGAACAGTTAGTTTTCCCAGGGATGGCTCCTGACACGGAGGAGAGGAGAAGTGAGCCACTTACCTTAAACCGGTCAACAGCAACCGATGCTTCTGAGAGAGATTTTACTGAGAACGGAGTTACTTTCAAAGCAAAAGTCATGGAATTGAAGACGGTCACCACTGTGAAAGCCTGAAAATAAAAAAGGAGAAGAAACTGAACCTGACTAGGCTACGCAACTAAAATAACAAGACATCATCAGTTTCCTTTCCAGGTTTAAGGAAGGCTGCAAGCAATTTGACTGTCAAATGTTGGTATATTTTTTTAAAGGTATAAAGGTATGAGACATTCAATTAAAATTCTCAGTAAAACTGAACCACAGGATGATCTGTTTCAGAATTAAACCCAAAATTTGGCTGCCTAAAAACTACCCATACATTATTTGTACATTAGGGCTGTATCCTCACTCTTCTACTTCTCAGCTTAATCATGCAAATGAAAAAATACCTTCTGATTACTGCGGGGACCTCCAAATCCAGAAATAAGAGCACCACAGCATCTCTGTATGTGGTCTTTCTAGACCTTCCAAGCCCCAAGGGCTCACTGACCTGTGCTGCTGTCAGATCGAAGCCAAGGGTCATGTGAACAGAGAACGTCACCACGCTGGCAATCACCATCACGATGGGAGCCACGCCAACAGTGATGCTCTGAAAGTACCCGGCTTTTTCTAATATCCGTCGTTCTTCTTCTCGGGTTTCTAAAAATAAAAAGCAAGCCAATTTCTAAAAAGCAAGTCAAAAGAAACCTGCGATATTGCTCCTCTGCTACCAAACAAGACTTGGTAGGTCTTCAGCCACACATAGGTTTTAAAACGACCCTTTAACACCTATGATGCAAAGACCAGGTCACTATGGCTATCAATTCCCTATCATTAGAGCTGGTATACAAGCCTGAGGTTTGAAATGGATCAAATCACAGGAATGAATCTAACGGCAAGCAGCACTACATACACAGTACAATGCACATCTCCTGCCTTTGCAGCACTGCATACACAGAACAATGCACATCTTTTGCCTTAGTCTGATTCTTCTTGCAAATTTCTTATGTACGATACATTCATTGTATCTACAATTGGCAGTTTTGATTACTTAAATGGCTGTTGTTTATTTCTTGCCTAGATACTTATAGGAAAGACTGTACAACAATAATGCAGAATTAAAAAGGAACGAAGATTTACTAGAGTGCCTATTATAGGTTGCTATTAGCATAGAGGCTTCACACAAAAAGCAGGAAGGGTGATTGGAAGAAGATGAGTGAAATACAATTTTCGTAGGCAGAATAATTTTCTTAAATATTTGCAAAACTGACACTTAACAGAGCAACCTTACAGTAACTAGACCATGACAGTAAATAGACCAGGAAGTATTAGCATATAAGTATGCTAATACTTCCTGGTGAGGTATTTTCAAACAAATGTTTAAACATAAAAGAAACTCTTCTGAGGGCCGGCCGAGTGGCACGATGGTTAAGAACTGGCTTGGGACGCCAGAGGACCCCGGTTCGGATCCCACATATGAGGGCCAGTGACACTGCCCTCCACAGCTAAGATGCTGAACAACAGCTCAACCTGGAGCTGGGCTGCCGTGAGTTGCTGGCGATGGCCTAGGCTGCAGCCCCTGTGGCAGTGGGTTGCCATGGGCTACCGTATGTAGCCAGCAGCCAGCAGCCAGCGTGAGCGGCCAACAGCCGCAGTGAGTGGCCGTCCAGAAGCCGGCGACTGATCTGCTTCGCCCGGGAAAGAGCGCAGTGATGGTGCCAACTTGGGCCAGTGAAGCAACGTCCTCCACAACTAGACTGAAGAACAAAACGACAGCAACTACAGCAACTTGTCTGTTCCCCTTCCCCCAATTCCCCAGCGCTGTTCCCACCCCCCAATTCCCCAATAAAAAAAAAAAAGAAAAAAAAAAAAGAAAAAGAAATTCTTCTGAGAGACTATGCACTGATCTTAAAGGTATTACCACTGCCCAAGACATTGGGAACTACCTTCAGTTAGCTCATTAGTCATATACATAAAAAAAAAAATCCAAGCCATTGCTTTAACATTTATCATATACCTTGCCCAAGTCCATAATGAACAAGAAGGCTCTTTTCAAACTAAAACAGATAAAGATACCAAAGTCAGGGGCTGAAGGATGAAAGGAATCTGAGAGAGAAGATTATAAAAACTACAGAAGCTAGAACCAGAAGGGACCACCAGCAGTCACCCTGCTGACAACATGCTTGACAGATGTCTAGTCAGCATCTATTTGTTCCATACTAGTGGCAACAAACCCACTACTTAGCGAAGCAGCCTTACCCACTGTTGGATACCTCTGAGTGGTCACCTTCTCTGGATGACCACTCATAAATAACGTTTCTGAAATGTTCCTGAAGGCTTAATTGACAAGCCAACCCAGTGAAAATGAAATAGCTTCCTTGATCTGAACACTATAGTTCTACTCAACCAAAAATTGCATGAACTTTTTAGCTGCGATGTATTCAGGTTAGCTTACCAGGAGGCTATGGTCAATTAATATCCCGTATCTTTTATATTGAAATTAAGTTTATATAAACAGCCCTGTCATGCAGTCAGAGCCAGGATGTACACATGCCTCCTGTTCTTTCTCTTTTGTCAGCAACAGGGTTCTCACCCTGGCTGCACAGCTACTGAGCTTCTTTTTTAAACTCTAAAGTGTCTTTTAATATAGCCATCTTAAATTTCACCTGTTTTTTAAGGCCCATCATTCCAATTTTCGTTGAGATCTTTTTGAATGTCCAGTCTGTGCTAATTGATTATTCTTCCAAGCTTTGTGGCATTAACATATGACATGTTTATGTCTGCAATGAATTTGCAGATCATGATAGGGCCAGGCACCAAAAACGTTATGACTCAACATAAATTGATTTTTTGAAAAGATTAAAAAAAAACAACAACAGGGCCGGCCGAGTGGCGCGATGGTTAAGAACTCGCTTGGGATGCCAGAGGACCCCGGTTCAGATCCCACATATGAGGGCCAGTGAACACTGCCCTCCACAGCTAAGATGCTGAACAACAGTTCAACTTGGAGCTGGGCTGCCGGGAGTCGCCGGTGACGGCGTAGGCTGCAGCCCATGTGGCAGTGGGTTGCCATGGACTACCGTGTGTAGCCAGCAGCCAGCGTGAGCGGCCAGCAGCCGCAGTGA